TATGTGATAATGTCCACTTTGTTTACTTTGACATCCTGCTGCATGCAGCCTGGCAGAAGAGCTTCTAACCCAAAACTATGCCACACTGAGGCTGGGGAAAGGATGCAAAGACAGAGATTAAGGGCAGCCCAGCGTAAATGCATACTTTGACTAATATGGGGCTAGTATTTCTAGCAAGGGAATCAATGTAAAATCCTAACCAAGAATAGTTAGTTGATAGTGAAGTAGGCTGATTTCTTAATCAACAGTTGAAAAAAATTCATAAACAATGAAAGAAGTTGACAGTGTTAAGGAATAAAAAATAGATAAGAAAAATTGTGAGAGATTGTTTAGTGAGAGTGCTAGCTTACACTGCAATATGCTTCAGTTCTCTGGGCCACTTCAAAGTGTGCTAGACAGGACTTCCAGTTTCTGGTCCAACATGGAAGTCATTGCACCATTCTAACAATGAAATGCTGGACAAACTGAAAGCCAACAAATCTTAGATCCATCAGAGAATTGAGATTACAGGGCAAACCACTGACCCCCAAATTGGAGACAGACAGGCAGATACAGTGAATCATTACTTATTGGAGAAGAAACCTTTGTGGGAACCAGTTCCAAGGAGGAAAACTTGCACTGTAATTGACTAATTGTTGGAGGTCCAACATAGACAAATCGGAATGCTAAAATCTCCAGGGGAGATTAGTCTTAGGCAAGCCCCCACACTTTGGTGAGTTTCACTTCCAGGTACTCTACTAGGTTCTCACAGTGAAGATGGGAGAAATGTCCCTTCATGCTTCGCAGGGGGAGGGGAAAAATAGCCATTTGAAATATGCCCAGAGCATTCTATTTTTCTTAACAAAGCCTTCCTTCCAGAGAAGTTATTTTTACCAGAGCCTAATCTACTGGGTTGTTATCAGATCCTAACCCACCTCACAGAAGGGAAATACCCAAATCCAGCCACTTTTAGCCATCCTATCTGACCTATGTGGGGGAAAAACTGAGAAGCATTTGTGAAGATCACAGCCCAGGAACACGGCCTCAGTAAACAACTAAGATCCAATCATAGAACTACCCCTCCCACTACACCTTATTACTGTATCACTAAAAGCTTATTTATTGCTGTTCTTTTTTCCCGGTCCCATGTCCAGCTTTCAACAAAAAATTATAGCACATACTAAAAGACAAAAAACACAGTTTGTAGAGACACAGCAAGCACCAGAACCAGACTCAGATATGGCAGCAGTGTTGAAATGACCAGAATAGGAATTTAATATGCTAAAGGTTCTAATGGAAAACGTAGACAACATGCAAAAGCAGACAGGTAATGTAAGCAGAGAGATGGATGGAAACTTTAAGAAAGAATCAAAAAGAATTGTAGAAACCAAAAATATTGTAATAGAAATAAAGAATGCCTTTGATGGGGTGATTAGTAGTAGATTGGACACAGGAGAGAAAAGAATCAGTGAGCTTGAAGATACGTCCATAGAAACTTCCAAAACTGAAAAGCAAAGAGAAAAAAGAATGAAAAAAGTTTAATAGAATACTCCCAAATTGTGGAAAAACTAAAAAGTGTAACATAGACAAAATGAGAATACCAGATGAGATGAAACAGGAAAGGAATTTTTAAAAATGTTTGAAGTGATAATGACTGAGAATTTCTCCAAATTAATGTCAGATATCAAAACACAGATCCAGAAAGCTCAGAGAACACCAAGAAGGATAAAAGCAAAAAATCTACACCTAGACATATTATATTTAAACTACAATTAGAGATAAAGAAAAAAATCTTGAAAGAAGCCAGAGGAAAAGAAACACATTATGTGTAGTGCAGCAAGGACAATAATTTCATCAGACTTCTCCTCAGAAATCATGCAGGGAAGAAGAGAGTGAAGTGGAATACTTAAAGTGTTGAGAAAAAAGAAAAAAAACCCACCAATCTAGAATTTTGTATCCTGTAAAATTATTCTTCAAAGTGAAGGAGAAATAAAGACTTTCCCAGACAAACAAAAATTGAATTTGTTGCCACTAGACCTGCCCTCCAAGAAATGTTGGAAAAAGTTCTTCAAAGGGAGGGAAAATGGTACATGTCAGAAACTTGGCTATACATAAAGAAACAAAGACAAGTGTAGGTAAAATAAAGACTTTTATTTTTTAATTCTTATTTGGTTGAACAGGTAACAGTTTGTTCAAAATAATTATAGCAACAACATATTTGGTGACTGTAGCTCACGGATAATCTTGTACTATCTGTGAAGCAGTATAATGTTATTTGAAAGTAGACTTGGATTAGATGTAAAAGTGTGTTGAAAACTCCAGGGCAACTACTTAGAAAAAAATAAATAAATAAGAAGTATACTGTAATCGATATGCTAAAAAAAAGGCAATAAATAGAATACAGTAATGTGTTAGATATTAATTCAATAACATCACTAATTACTTTAAACAACAATGGTTTATACACACCAACTAAAAGACCCGACTATATGTTGTGTAAAAGAAACTGACTTTAAATGTAAAAACGCATATAGGCTGAATGTAAAAGAATGGAGAAAGATATATCATGGTAAAACTAATCAAAAGAAAGTTGCAATAGCTCTTAGTGTCAGACAGAACAGACTTAAAAGCAAGAAACATTATCAGGGATAAAGAGGGGTATTTCGTAATCATAAAGGAGTCAATTCTCCAAGAAGATGTAACAATCCTTAATGTGTACGCACCTAAGAACATAGTGTTAAAATATATGAGGCAAAAACTGATAGAACTCCAAGTAGAAACAGATAAATTCACTATTACTGTTAGGAACTTCAACACCCTCTTATCAGGAATGAACAGATCCAGCAGACAGAAAATGAGTAAACACATGGCTGAATTCAACAGTATCAACACTTGACTGAATTTAAATGACATCTATAAGATATTGCATGCAACAACAGCAGAATACACATTCTTCTCAAGCTCACATGGAACATTTACCCAGATAGACCACATTCTGGGCTATAAAACACACCCTAATAAATTTTAAAAAGTAGAAATTATACGGTGTCTACTCTTAGATCTCAAAAAAATTAAACTCGAAATCAATAACAAAAAGATTAGCTGGAAAATCCCAAAATATTTGGAGATTAAACAACACACTTGTAGTAATACATGGTCAAAGAAAAAAATCTCAAGGGAAATTTTAAAGATAATATCAGTATTTTAGTTCTTCCCAACTCGATGTGTAGATTCTATGAAATCTCAATGAAAATCACAAGAAGCAATTCTAAAATTTTATATGGAAAGGCAAAAGACTCAGAGTAGCCAACATAATATTGAAGGAGAATTAAGTCAGAGGACTGATATTAACTGACTTCAAGAATGACTATAAAGCTACACTAATGTTGTATTGGTGAAAACGTAGACAGACAGGTTACTGGAAAACAATGGTGAGCCCGGAACTTGACACATGCAAATATAGTCCACAGATCTTTAGCAAAGGCAATAAATCCAATGGAGAAAAGGTAATCTCTTCAACAAGTGGTTCTAGACCAAGTGAACATCACATGCAAAAAAAGTAGATCAAAACACAGACTTTAGACCCTTCAGAAAAACTCCAAAACACTGATAACAGCAAAGCTCAAAAGAATTTGGAGCAACAGGAACTCTCATTCATTGCTGATGGGAATTCGAAATGGTACAGTCACTTTGGAAGACAATTTTGTAGTTTCTTAAAAAACTACACATATTCTTACCATGTGATCCAGCAATTACATTCCTTGACATGTACTCAAATGAGCTGAAAACTTATGTCCACACAAAAACATGCACACGGATGTTAACAGCAGCTTTATTTGTAATCGCCAAAACTTGGAAGCAACCAAGATGTCTTTCAGCAGATGGATGGAAAAATAAACAGCAGTGCATACAAACAATGGAATATTATTCAGCACTAAAAATAAATGAGCTGTCAAGCCATTAAAAGACATGAAAGAAACAAATGCATAATACTAAGTGGAAGAAACCAATCTGAAAAGGCTACATACTGTATGATTCTAATATAACATTCTGGAAAAAAACAAAACTATACAGACAATTATGGATGCATGCTTGCCAGGGGTTGGGGAAAGGAGGGATGAGGAAACAGAACTGAGAGGATTTTTAGGGCAGTGAGACTATCCTGTACTATAATGATGGACACATGTCATTATACATTTGTCAAAACCTACACAATCATCAACGCTAAGAGCAAACTCCAATGTAAAGTATGGTGTTGGGGGGATACTGATATGTCAATGCAGGTTCATCAAAGATTACGAATGTCCATCTGATGTGGGATGTTGACGGTTGGGGAGGCTGTGCCTGTGTGGAGTTAGGGAGCATATGAGAACTCTGTACTTTCCACTCAATTTTGCTGAGAACATAAAATTGCTCTAAAGAATAAAGTCTATTTTTTTAAAAATGTGCTAGGCATTTGATGAGCTTGAGAGTAAAGATTATATATAAAATGTTTCTAACAGGAGAAAACCTTGCATCAGTGAATGAAATTTTTTTTTATATAAGATAAATGCTATGATGAAGCAAATTTATCAAAGAATCTGCAAGACAACTTATGGTAAAAGCTTTGGAGATAAAATTCTATGAACATATGCAAAAACTAATGGTGACGTCAAAGTCTTAACAAGATGTTTCAGGAATCACAATTTTTACCTTTTTCTCTTTTTCTTAGGAAGAATGTCAATGGAGAATACTGCTTGAAGACTTACATTCAGGTAAGGCTTAACTTTTTAAAAATTTTGTAATAGGAGGAGCACTTTATCATGTGGTGCTTATTTTTACACAGACGCTAAGAGGAGAATGGCATGGTGGTCTGGGTCTGTGCCCCCACCCCAAGAACTGGTGTGGAAGCTCTGGCAATGAGAAATGTGTGAGGCTATCCAGTGGTGGGAGGAAGAAACTTAAAGCCAACTGCGGCAGGCAAGGCTGCGGGAAGAGGGACTTCGGTAGCTCACTGATGACCTTGGGAAAGGGGCCTAGGTCTAGGTCTGCCTACCGAGGCCCGGTGCCTGGCTGCGCTCAGGTCCGTCTGTTGTCCGCCTTCCCTGGTGTCTGGGTGGCTCGCGGGAACGCCTGGGAGGATACGGGGGAGACCTTCTGCCTCTGTGCTGGGCTGTGCGGATGGGGCCCACCCGGGACTCGCGGCCCACCCTCGACTCGCGGCCCACCCTCGACTCGCGGCCCATGGTCGAGCTGTCTTCTCTGGTGTGTTCGATTCGGCGCCTTGGGGAGTCGCGGGAGAAGTGCCTGTACCGTGCAAATCGGTTGGAGGGCGAGTAGGCATCTTGGCGGCCGGCTGGGAGTTGCTGTCGAGCCTGGGGATAGGACACAGAAGGTCGCCGAGGGACCCGGGGACCCGGGGAAGCGGGCGGGTGCCCCCTCAAAGCCGATTCGCCTCGGATCCTGCGGTGGTCTCGGGGCTGCCTCCGGCCTGTGGGGCCTGGATGTGCGCTGGTGCGGCCATCCCTGATCCAGCCGCCCACGGTTCGGCGGCAGGGGAGATCCACGCCCCAGGCGTCCGCCAGGTGGGCCAGCAGCAGCTGCGAGAGGTGTCGGTGCGCGCGGCCGTCCCAGTGCACGCCGTCTCGCTGCCGGTGCTGGCTGGCGTGGCGGAAGTGGAAATGCAGATCCAGCACGTCGAAGCCGTGCCTGCCCGCCTCCCTGGAGCTGTAGAAGTTGGCCTCCATCACGTCTTCTCGCAGGCGGACGGCCCTGGATGGGCGCTGCGACGGGAGGAAGCCCGCAGACACGGTCTCGGCCACGGGCATGGCCGTGTTCCACACCAGGAGGCAGGACAAGGGCAGCACCCGGGCCAGGCGCCTGAACATGCGCGCCAGATCGTCCGGGTAGCTCCTCCGGAAGTCCCGGCCGTACCTGGAGAGGTCCCAGAGGCAGGAGTTCATGACCACCACGTCCGGAGCATGCCGGCCCAGCTGCAGCTCGTCCAGGACGTCCTCCACGTAGGGCGAGTGCACGCGCGTGAGGAAGTAGAAGCGCACCAGGTGGTGGCCCGAGCGGAACTGGCGCACCTCGCGGTAGTGCGTGCCGTTGTGCAGGCGGCCCCTGCTGCCGCCCTCAAGCAGCACGTCCCGCTCGAAGCTCAGCTCGCCCCGGGCCCTCAGCTGGCTGGGAGAGAGCAGGCAGTCCTTCTGCAGCAGGAGCACCAGGTCCTTGTACACGGTCCGCTGGACCGAGTCCCCCATGACGACCACGTACTTGTTGTGCAGCAGCTGCCGCACCTCGCAGGCCCGCAGGTGGGCTATGCGGCGGAGGCCGGGGGGGCGGCCTAGCTCCTGCCTTCCCTCGGCGCGGCTTCGAAGAGAGCTCGGGGTTGAGGGAGGCATGGGGGAAGGGGAAGGACGAAGCTCACGGGAAGAAGAGGGCAGGCGGGGGTCGCTTCTGCCTGGCGCCAGGGCCTGGGCGGCGAGGAGAAGGGAAGCGGAGGTCGTGGCGCTGAATCCCACCTCAGCTAAAGCCTCCTCCGCCCAGGACGTGACCTCTGAACCCCAGAGGCTCCCTTGCGAGCCCAGGCTCCACCTGGTGGAGGGGAGGCGCCGAACCCCAGCGGAACGTGCTGCCCTACTAAACGCCGAAGGGGGAGCTCTCATTCCCGATGCATCCGTGCATGCATTCACATAGCACAGCCTTGGGCTGTATTAGTCTGCACCCTGGGCGCAGGCAGGGCTCCCCGGCCCCCTGTTGTACCGATATCTCACTAATCGGGGCCCCTCGTTGCTGCTGGTTCTTGCTTTCTGTGTGCGTTCCCATCTCTAGTTAATAATTTCTTCATTTCCTGGCGGGGATCTCCTTTTGAGTCAATTTCTGTACTCAAATGCACATTGAAACATTGAGAAATGTCTCCACTGGGGGAGGGATGTCATTCCCAGGGGTAGAGCCCAGCCTGGAGACTGATCTACTGCAGGAATTTCTAGGTAGTGGTTAGCAGAATATTCGGGTCTTGTGCAAATACTGGAGGGCTCAACTGTGTAATTGCTTTTAATTAAGCTATTATGGCAACTCATGGTGAATTTACACGCACTTGTAAGAAGGAATACTGAGAGATCCCCGTGTACGCTTTATCCACTTTCCCCCCAGGTAACTTCTTAGAACTATAGTACCTCGGTACGGCCACCATACAGGCCATTTCATCACCACCAGCATCCCTCCCATTGTCCTTTCATTGCCATGTCACCTCCCTCCTGCTCCAGTCCCCTAATGTCTGGCAACCGCTAAGCTGTTGCCCATTTAGAGAATTTGCCATTTCAAGAATTCTATATAAATGGAATTGTCTAGTACTAACCTGGGGGATTGGCTTTTTCCCCCCAGTATTGTTCTTTGGAGACTCATCCAGTATGTCCACTTTATAAACCCTAGCCACCTGTTTTCTGTACTCAGAAGTGAGTTTCCCAGTGGTACAAATGTGTCAATACTTTGTTCCCTTTTTATTGCTAAATTCTATTTTATGGTATGGATCTACCACGGTTGTTTTAACCAATGACCCATTGAAAAGACATTGGGGTCGTTTCCAGTTTGTGGCTATTACAAATCACGCTGCTATGAGCATTCCTCTACAGGTGTTTGTGAAAACTTAGATTTTCATTTCTCTGGGATAAGTCCAGACCTGTGATTGCTGAGTCATAGATGGTTGTGCATTTAGTGCATTAAGAAATGCCTAGAATATTTTCCAGAGTAGCTGTACCATTTTACATTTCCACCAGCAGTGCATGAGTGGCGAGTTTCTTTCTGGGATATAGATATGTGTATCCTGGATATGTAAAGCCTGGAACCCATCTATGTGGAGATGGGCATGACCTTTCTGTTTGAATGAACCCTGGTCTCTTTCCTGGGTTATGCATATAAGTGTCAAGCTCTATAATGCACGCCTCCTTCACCTTTAGATATGGATGAAAGCTTTTAGCCTGTGTAACCCCAGCCTCTTCATCCTTGATCAGGGATATGAGCTTCCTGCCAAATGAATTCTGACCTCCCTCTCTCTATCCTTGGTTCTGAATTGCAAAATTCCCAGACCTATTTTTGACAGAGGTTAATAAACAATCACCTTCTAAAATTTTATATCATATAAAATAGTATGATAGTCATATTTATCAGTCATGACCTTTGTGTAAAATAGCTAATTTTGGAGCCACTGGAATTGTTTTTAGTTATGACACATAAATATATGTTAATGAATATCATAACATACCATGTATACATATTATCAAGAATTGTGCTTCCCTATACATTAAAGTGAATTTATACACTTTCACCTTTATCTACTTTCTCTATACTCTTCATTATATATGTAAAATATACTGGATGTAAATCAACTGGTTTGGTAATTTCTTCTGACATTTTACAAATTTTTTATTAGTGGGGTCATCACAGCCTTCTGCCTTCACTGCAAACAAAGCATGGTTTACAGTGGTTTAACAGTTTATTTTTAGGCCCCTAAAGTAAATTGTTTGTCTTTACTGCCAAGAAAGCAGATAGAAATTATTCAATAGTGTACATAAGAATTACCTGAAATTTTATGTTATTTTGTGAAAACAAAGTGGTTTATTTCTACATTGCATTTTATTTTATTTTGTTTTATTTTATTATTTTATTTTTTTTTTTGTCTTTTGTCTTTTTCCGTGTCTGGCAACGGATCGCAACCCTCAATGTTGCCCCCGTACCGGACCGGGGACCGGCAACGGGATTGCAACCCTCGGCGTCGCTCCCGCGCCTCGCTCAGCCAGTGAGCGGGAACCGGTCTGTATGTGGGATCTGAACCCTCGGGCGGGAGGGCCGCTGCGCTTCCCAAGCGGCGCACTTATCCAGTGCGCCACCGGGCCGGCCCCCTACATTGCATTTTAAAGGTAATGACTAAATAGTAAAACTAGAGTCAGTTTAGAATAACTCACACAATCACTCTCTGTTAATACTGCTATTACTTCGTGGACATGCTGCCCTCCCTATGGGCAGATTTTCTCACTTTTAGGATAAAATGAAGAAAAAAGGTTTTAACCTAAGTTATGATGATAGCTTAAAGAGGCCTCATACTACATCTTAAAATGTGTATGTATGGCTAAAGAAGCATATTTATTACAGTACTATTGTAGAGCTTCTTTGTGTCCAAATACTAATTACAAGAAGTCAGAATTTTAATCTATTAAAATTAAAGGAAAGAGATCAATCTCAATTTCTCTCAAGGAACTAAACATTTTTGCAAAGATAAAGATGTTGGCTCTGTCTTAGAGAAAAAGTGAATAATACTGTCATTTAACCAGTTAATTTTGCAATAAGGGTTTTTTTTCAACTTGTTTATTCACACTGACGTTTTTAAATCAAATAATTGACAGATTTGTCCTTTTTGTGTTGTATAAATACAGTCTTGAAAGACATCATTTTATGTAGTATTCTCTTCTTTAAATGCAGAACATTTCAATTTAGAACCAGTGACTATTACAGCACATAGAAAAAGACATGATCATTTGCTTTGTTTCATTCATTTCAGTGAGACCATTTTTTCAACTGTTCATTTCCGATGCCTAATATTCTTTATCCGTAATAGAAAAATCTGCACTATGTTAATTTAAAGTCTTATACCATAATATGAACTTATTTTACACTATTTTCCCTTTTTAGTACTTTCTAAAATTGCAAATATGAGATGATCTTAAAAATTGTAAAATAGAGAATTGTAAGTAAATATTCAAAATCTTTTTCTACTTCTACCCATTCTCAAAAATTGGATGTGTATCTATCTATACCTCTTTTCACAACTTGACAAACAATATGTTTAAATATATGTATATACTGTTTCACTTTTTTACGTAAGATCATTTTTCATACTATTCTGTAACTTACTTTTTCATATAACATTATGTGACAAATATCTACCTTGGGTCAGGTTCCCTAGAAAACAGTTTAAAGAAAAAGCTGATGTGCTAAATTATTAGCAAGTACAATCCCCAGAGAAACAGAAGTGAATCAGGGAAGTAAGGACAAATATTATGGTATGCCTTACTGGACTAGCCACCATGGGTGTCAATTCCAACTGATTGTGTGATCTTACGGAATGATCTTCCCAGAGGTTGTAGCAATTATTTCATCTCAGGACAGTTCATCTCTGCAATGAAGGGAGAAAAATATATCTATCAGCTCATGTCTTCCGTATGTCAAAGTCCATTCACCTATAGGGCATTCGATTCCCCTTCAGTTTCAGATTGCCAAGTTTGTGAGCACCAAGTGGATCCCCTTGCCACTGATAGCTCAGCAGCAACAAAAAAACCCTGAGGGAAAAGGTGAGAGATATGGAAAGGCCTGAAAAAGTCAATCACCACATTAAGAATGAGAAAAACTAGTAGCCAAAGGCCTGGACACTGGTACTATCAAAAGGATCTGAGGTGGTGGTACATCCTGATGACTAAAATATGCTTTTCTGGGCTGGCCCGGTGGCGCACTGGATAGTGCGCCGCTTGGGAAGCGCGGCGGCGCTCCCGCCCGAGGGTTCGGATCCCACATGCAGACCGGTTCCCGCTCACTGGCTGAGCGAGGCACGGGAGCAACACCGAGGGTTGTCAATCACCACATTAAGAATGAGAAAAACTAGTAGCCAAAGGCCTGGACACTGGTACTATCAAAAGGATCTGAGGTGGTGGTACATCCTGATGACTAAAATATGCTTTTCTGGGCTGGCCCGGTGGCGCACTGGATAGTGCGCCGCTTGGGAAGCGCGGCGGCGCTCCCGCCCGAGGGTTCGGATCCCACATGCAGACCGGTTCCCGCTCACTGGCTGAGCGAGGCGCGGGAGCAACACCGAGGGTTGCGATCCCGTTGCCGGTCCTGGTCCGGTGCGGGGGTGACACTGAGGGTTGCGATCCATTGCCGGATACGGAAAAAGACAAAATAAATAAATAAATAAATAAAAAATAAAATATGCTTTTCTGTATTTCTTGTGTTTTACATATTTAGCTCATTCCTTTAAATGGCTAAATAGTATTGCATTGAATGGATATAGTATAATTTACTTAAATAATAACATAACAACAATAGTTTTAATGAGGAAAGAAAAAGGAAATGAGGGAGGAAAGGATGGAGAAAGGCAAAACAATGTCTTTGGTCTTGGGTTAAGACTGTGTCACGGAAGCTTTTTCTGCCTCCATCCAACCCATTCAAGATCCACTCCCACATGCGTTCTTCCAGTTCTTGCTGATACATATTAGCTAGGTCCCAAAATGCCTTTGGCATGGGAGCTGTGATTGTACTTCCATCCCAAATTGTGCTAACATCTGATTTGGTTAGTGGCCTAGAAGCAGTGAGAGATAATAAAGGCAGGCCTTAGATCTTGCGAAGTTATGGTTTTGGTATAATCATTACATAGTCCCCAGGTAAGCAGAGGCTCTTCTTTTCTGGCAAGGAGGATGAGCCTGCTTCTACCAGCCAGGAGATATTGGGGGAATTCAGGGATTCAAGATTGCCAGGCTCATCCACCCAAATGTCATTATCCTTGATCTAAGGATCTTTTCTATCCATGCCCTAATACTGATGTGGGAGAACTCTTGAGGCCATTAATTTAGTTTCCTTTGCAACTCTAACATCATTAAAATCAGATTCCATTTCAATT